ACTCTTTCCTGCTTATGCAGGGGGTCGGACTCGATGATCTATTGAGGTCCCTTCCAACCCTAACATCTATGAATCTATGAATCTATGAACAGCAAACCACCATTAGGAATTTCCAGAAAGGTTTAGTCCTATGTCGGCCTTCTGCATCCAGCATAGAAAGAGATGCCTCAGGCCTCGCAGAACATGGTGCTGGAAAGAACCCTTATCAGGTGGATCAAATGAGCAAGATAAAATTCTGGGAGTCTTGGACAGGGATGTCCTTCTGGACCCAAGCCTATGTCTACACTTAAAAGAGGAGGAATTCTTTGGGGTTGATAAGATTCGTTATCAAGAAAGAATCCATGGCCAGCTAAATCCTGCATTCCGTGGTCAGAGACTAACCCCAGGGATTAACCCAGGAGGTAAAACTGGGGTCTCGCTTCATAATAATTTCTGATCCTGGTCATAAACTACTTATACAGTAGCACAATTCTCAGAGAGATGGGATTTCCTTGAATGGAAAAACACTTAACACCTCCGTCCTTGGTAGGCATAATCCTATCACCAGGAGGAGGACGATTTGAAACCAGGCACCCTGAATAAGCCATACTGGTGGCTGTGGGAGAAATCTGCCTGACAGGTAGGAAAAAACAGAATATCACTCTGACAGAAAAGCCACATGGCACAGGCCAAAAAGCCTCAGATGTCTAAAAAAAAGTTGACAAAGACCAGGAAGAAGTGTGTAATTGAACCAAAGAAAGTAAAAATAAAAAAAAAAACCCCACAAAAGAAAAGGCAACAGACCAAAAATGCAGTCTGGATCAGACTTGGGAATCCTAGTCTCAAACCAAGATGTTTGAAAGGAATTGAGGAATAGGAAGTGTACACTGCCCTTTTTTACCCTTGGCACAGGGCACAAGAGGCAGGGCGCATCCACCCTGCATGGGTGCTACTAAGGCAGTAGTCTCTGCACTCTAGTGCATACATGCAACCATGGTAGGGCATGCATACAGATGAGACCATAACCTGTCTACAGTTCCAATGGCGATAGCGTGGCTATGTACACAAGTAACTTTATTCATGTACATAAAGGCTTGCAGTATCAGTCCCTCAGACTTAAAAAACAGGAAACGTTACTACTAAAGCCTCTTTAGAAAAAGGAAACAGATCATGAACAGAAATGTTTCGAGTCCAATAAAACTAAAAATAGCCTAAATCCTTCCCCAGACTGCCTGCCATGAAAACTAGGTTCTAACGTCTGATTTTGCTGAACATAATTTAGCATTAAATCATAAATATAGCAGATGTTAAAGTCTTTCCCTTGGAGGGATGCTGTTTTTTTCATAAAGATAAGATTAACATTTCAAGTACTCTGTCAGCATTTAAGAAAGAACCCTACAGAGGGTTTTTATAAGTGATGCACACTTTCATAAATAGTTTGTGGACACTACTGGTTTTCCCTACCCTGCTGGTACTAAAAGGTTACTCAGTACTTCCTTCCACTGGCTTAGATACCCGTCATTTCCCTTTTTAAGAAAATTGCACCATTCTACCACAAATTGCTATGCAAATGTATGTTCGTTAAACAGAAGTTATGGGCTTGATGCACAAGCCATCAGGCCAGAGGTTTTTGGACGGAATTTGCATTGATTTTATAACCGGTAGGTTTGCAGAATTGGATATTATTGCTAATTTAGATGCTTTCTTCACCTCGATCTAGTTCCAGGACTCCAGACACGAGAGTGAAGGGGACTAAACATTTCAAATGCCAAAAAGTCAAGATTTTTGGAACCTTCCTGCAAGTTTCTAATTATTGTCTTTTTTAAATAATTCAGTAGCAAATGCTGATGACCTGCTACTAGGAGGCAAAATACTACAATGGGGGAACATATGTGAATCTGAATAAATACAACAGAAGGCTTCCCATTTAAAAACCAAATATTACTACCTGCTTCCTTAGCAAATCTAAGATGCCTCAAATGAAAGTAATACGCTCAAGAACTGGAACAAATAGCTCTCACATTTATAAAGCAGCAGTAAAAAGAAGAGCAGGAATTTAAAGTCTACCTTAAATTAAGATTATGAGTTTCCATTTACAACTAGACACTGAAAAAAATATTTTAGATATTGGGATAGAGCACTGGCAACAAAATAAGGTCCAGCTTTTAAATATCCCCACAATCTAGGAATAGTCCTATTCAAAGTCAAGGTGGCTTAAAAATCAAAACATCCTGGACGCAGACATTTCTTTATGCCTATGTTCCCTCCTATTTTTAGGATGTATGTTTGGTCCACTGTTTTCCAAAAGTCAGGGCTTTTCTCTCACATTGATTACACTAGAAAAAGGATTTCCCTCATCTGTTAATTTTGTTATCCTACTTTAAGTACTAGCAGACTGCTAAATGTTGTACAGGGGAAAGAAAACTTGAAGACCCAGCCTTCGTGGAATCTGCCATCCTAGTGAGCTAAATATAGTTACCAGGGTCTGAAGACCCCTTCATCATGAACGGGTGGAAGGAAGTCTCCCTCCACAACCTTGAATAGGACAGCTAGGACTTCAGAGATTACCCTCTGATGGAGGCCCAAAAGCCTGGTGGTAGGGGAGAACAGAAGAGTAGATCAGCTGATTTACAGTACAGTCATCTTCAATCTGACTCGAGTTCCCATGCTACCCAGTCTTCTGTCTCTCAGATTGCTGTGGGAACCTAATTTAAGTTTTAAGTTGCATTAAAACTACACTGGCTCACCAGTATAACTTTCTCAAAGCAACTGCAGGGTGGGGTCAGTCAGTGGCAACATTATCCCTCAGGCATAAGCATTTGGGTTCCTCCAGTTTATGAAATGATATTTGTTCCACCCACCCACAAGGGATCTCAAGTAACAGCAGGCATTAAATGATCATTTAGCTGAAAGGTCAAAGAAGAGGGCACAGTTTAGAAGCAGAGGGTCTATGACTAAAGGCATTAAAGCCTACCAAACTTTAATAAACATATTTTTATATGGTCAATAACTGTGATGTTTGCTGGACTAATAGTGGCTGTTCACACCACCCTATGCATTGTATGGCCACTTCAAAGGGGTGTTTTACTAGGTAAGGGTAGCTAAGACAAGGCTGGTCTTGAGCATCTAGCCCCCTGGGAAGCTCTCAAACATTTCAGAAAACCAGATATGTTTCTATTTACTCATCTTTCTATTCTTCTCATCTTTATGTCCAGCCCAAATAATTTATCAAGGCTGTAATTATCAGCATGAAACCAGCTCTCAATGCTGGCATCACACCCTTCTTAGGGGTTTGCCTAGCTTATCCAACTGCAGTAAAGATATGGAGAGCTTCCCTTCCTTACTGTCATTTCCACCTGGCAGGGATCCTATCTTAAACTAGTTCTGGGAGTAGTAAAAGGGACAAGGGAACCACAGTACCAAATGGCTAAAGAGAGACATTTACCCCTTTTTAAAATGCAGTTTTAAAGTGTGTAATGATTAACAGTTCCACCTGTTGCCTTACTACATAATTGCTGGAGTGCTTGAAAATAAGAGGCATG